AATGAATAGAATTTACAACAACAGTACCGTAAAATTAGCTACAATTGAGGGCCTTGATTCCCTAATGACCACACCTGTGACACTTCTAGTCGATGCAAACACCTTGAAATGCAATCTGTTGCTTGAATATTTTAATATTTATTCAAATATTAGCATTAGCATAATGTAGCTATCTCTACTGTTTGCCCTCAAAGTATCGCAAAATGTCTTCATGCCCACTTTTTGCCTTCAAAATACTCTATGATTAATATCTGACGGTGAGCTGCACCTGGTAAACGTGACTAGTGCCTAAATCTTTCCGACATTCGAATGCCATATACATTGCGTGTTATTGTTCAAATCTGTATAGTTTATACGAAAATGTATTCACAAAAAATCGACCAACAATATGAGGTATTCAAGCAAGATCACTATAATTATACTTGTCAAAAATGATTACGATTCTCAACGCGATATCAAATTATAAGCGGTATCTGATCAGAACCACTATAAGCTCATGCAAACGCCTATTACTAAATTCGGAACTGTCCATTTCCATTTGTTCACATTTCATGAATAGCATATGGTCTCCACTGGCTCTTAACCGCATTCGACCATATGCATATTTTCGTATTTTGATGTTTTATTCGTTTTTCATGTNCCGCACTTCCGCTCATTTCGGCCATCCGCTGACTTTTTTTGAGTGGTTTTTTTTTTGGAGAAAATTGCTATTATTCCTCATTGAATTTCCATTCACACTTCAAACTCTCATTATCATTCGGACTCTAAAAATTTTCATTAGCATTTCGGATTAATCTTGTGATTCCTTAAAGGTTTTTGTCTTCTATAAAGATGATTTCTGTGAGCTGATATCCGGAAGAAATTGAGAGTAGTGGAAAATGGGATTGGGATTTTGCGTTGAAGTCAGTATAACAATAAGATGAATCTTGAATCTCATCAGTGGCGCAACATTAAAAAAATCCTTTCTCTTTAATTGAGGTCATCGAATAGTTTTTGAATGATCAAATGAAATGACTTGGCGGTTTCTTTCAAATTCTAGCAATTGCGCTGTGAGAATCCGCCAAACAATCAACATCTCACTGACTGATCCTATTTCTGAAGCCATGTGCTCGTATTTCAGCACACAGAATTTATGTGACAGCTTATGTTGTTGAATGAATAAATTTTCGGTTGTATGAGCACATTGTAAAATAGCAATTATTGCATATTNATATGATTTTGCTGTCAAATTTCAATGTGCCTCAAATTTCGATGAAATTTTTCACGTACAATACTCTCGTCAAACTTTCCAATTCACTTCACTGGTGATGAGCCCTGTATCGGTAATTCCATGAGTTGCAATACATGAACCAAATGTATGCCTCTTTATGTATAACGTATATATGCTGAGACAAAGCTCCATATGGTTATTCGAGGTAATTCTGTGAACGGACCGAATTCAAAACGAATGACAAAAAAAGTCGTCAATTTAGAAGGACTTAATAGAAATCCTGACGATTTATGTAATCTTCCGCAATATTTGGAACATTATAGTCACGTTGGTTGTATGTACCTGGTCACTAAGTACGCCTGCGAATTTAAGGTATTCATTTGCGATAGTCAAATGCTTGCACAGCATCTCTAAAATCAGTTCTACCTAGCGAGCCACTTATAGTAAGTTCGAAGCGATTCGATCATATTACATGTGAATTGGTCAAACAGTTCAACGAACTCAATCAAAACAAGTGTATTTGCATAGTTATGTGAAATATTTGCTAAATTGATTGAGCTAATCTCGAATCCTATTTTATATGCAGTGATCTCTTTGCTGTCAGATTTGTATGGCTGGATATTGTTTAAATGAACAATATTATTTCATTTATTGATTCATTCCCTAATTCATATCAATTAATCCTAATCATACATTCACTGCACTATAATAGTATGATGAAACCGATTATAAGTGATGAATTAGAATAGAAATTCACGGTTATTCCTGATGAAAAATTCCTGAATTTTTGAAGGAAATTCCCGGAAAATTTGTTCAATTTATTTACCTATATGTCAGCAACTGCATTGGAAAACAATTTCTTCCCTTCCTCAGATGGAATAAGCTCAAAACATTGTCAGTTTGGCTGCATCAATTCATGCAAATGTTATGCGTAACAAAAGAGCTCTGGATTGGTCATATTGCAATAATCATTTGATCTAGTGTTGAGTGATGTTTACTTGAAAAAATAAGACCTTAAAGACTGCCATTGTTGTGATTGGTGAAGTGAACTTCATAAAGTGTTTCCAGCTGCTTGCTAACGATAAAGCACAATTGAATGAAATTACTGCACGAATCGAATTGCTATTATATTATGACATTATGAAAATCGCGTGATTTGTTATGATTTGTTATTGTGTCGGTCAGATTTCATAAGTCATTTCGTGAAGCTGTACGTAAGAGAGCGAATGCAAATTTGTTCTCTATCGTTCAGTTTATCGCACAAATCACTTAATCGCTCACGTTTGTTTGGATGAAACATGCATGAAAGACCAACTGCTTAAAATGTAAGCCTCTCTCTGTTTCTTAAGTGTAACAATTGCTTCATTCCATCGAATTGTCTCATTATGATTGTTTCAACATATCCATAACTGACGAGTCGTTATTATCTTTGATTACTTGCGCATCTATTTGAAGAGTGAGCGATTTTCACTGCTGTGTGTGTGTTGTCCTTGTGCCCGTACTTCGGATAATCTCAGATCGCTAATGCAGGCGAATGATGAAATATAGCGAGGATTTATCACAATTCCTCAGTTTCTAATGACTTTCATTGTCCTGCTCGGCTTGCTCCACCGTTAAGCTGTTCACTTCTTTATAGCGATTGAAAATTTCAATGCTATATGATAAAGCAGCAAATTTGAGGAGAT